ATGGAGTGGTGGTGGTTGTTTTGATTGTTGGTGACATATCGATAAACAACACAAGGCTTCTTTATGACAAATGCCGCCTGATTTTTATTAAATTACGTGCTCCAATATAATTATCATTGGCGTAGTTCATACGAAAATTTTAAATAATTATATACTTTTGACTTTGAGTTTTGGGATCATCAACCCGGCAAGTTGTCTTCTACATCCGATTTCAACATCTCTCTGATCGGGTGACCATCCTGCAGTATTCATCAATGGCAACCATCGGCCATAGCCCAACCCTCTGCGGGGTTCTCTCCGAAACCAAGCTCACAATACGGGCCAATTCCCGCCATTTCTTAGCCCTTTCAATTCTCTTCCTCCTCCCCCTCTCTTTTGCCTCCATCCTATACCCATCTCTCATAACAACCCTCTCTACTACCAACTTCATTACTTCCCACTACCACCAAAATTCCCGTCTCCTTATCACTCTTCTATACATGCTTTTTGTGTTCCTTTTCTCCATTTTCGCCACTGCCTCAATTTCCTATAGTACTTTCCACGGATTCTATAATAGATCCGTCAGCTTCATCTCCTCTATAAAATCCATCTTGTTTTCAATTTTTCCTCTCCTTTTGACTGTTCTGGCTTCCCAGTTCATATTGATTTTCATTTTCGTTATTTTCGGCCTTTTGGGGGCTTTATTGTATGAAGGGCTCCTGACTTTCGGAGTCGATGTCGATTATGGATCGAATTATTTGCTGGGTTTTGTTATTTGTATGACGATTTTGATTCTGGTGGTGACAATTTACATGCAAGTAGAATGGTCGTTGGCGTATGTGGTGGCGGTGGTGGAATCCAAATGGGGTTTTGCACCCTTGAAGAGGAGTGCTTATTTAATCAATGGGATGAAATGGATTGCTCTATCAATAATGTTATACTATGGGATATTGACTGGGGTTTTAACAATTTCGTGTTCGACATTGCTCGTATATTTAGGTGGCATTAATGGAGGCTGGGCAGCCATTCTTGAGATAGTTTTATGCTCAGTTCTTCTGACAATGATGATGCTTAGCTACGTCGCTGCCTACACAGTGTTGTATATCTATTGCAAGGTTTTACATGGGGAAATGGCATTTGATATTGCAGATGAGTCTGCAGAAGATTATGTTAGCTTGCCTGTTGATGATGGGAAAGTTTGAGGTTAGTGCATACTGCATATGATTTCTAGTTTCTCTGAGCTACTGTCGTATGTTGTTTGAAACCCCGTGTTGTATGATATTGAAGATGTACAAGAAATGTGAAGATACGAGACGTGTGGATTTTAAACTATTAAGATACAAAATAAATGTTGTTCGATGTTTCTTAATGACTTTTGATTGTGAGTTATGTAGATTCCTCTTGTTTTAGGTCTAGAGAGAACAGTTTTTTCTTGACCTGGATGGATAAATATGCAAATCTTCTGCCATTCGAAAGTTTCAAGTTGCACAAATGCATCATGACGAACGCCTACTGAACTATGAGTACACAATTTAGGGGGTTGAATTATGGGTGCTTGAGGGAGATGGTGTTTTAAGAGAGATCAAGTTGACACTTGGTTGCTTAAAAAGTTATGTATGAGCCACTGGATTAGTAAAGACATCATACGATTGCTAGAACCTGCGTGTAAACTGCATTTTTTTTTTCATCTAGATTTCCCACTAACTCGGAGAAAATTCAAGATCTTCATAAGAGATGCGGTGAGGAACAGAATTCATGGTGCAGATACATATCATAGACAAACATTTACAGGTGTCAGTAATGCAGCAAACCTTTTCTACTAAGCCATTGAACTTCACCATACTGGATGCTGCAGCGAAACAAAATTCATAGTTCTGTAGGCACCTTTACAACCCAATGGTCAACATTCTCTAACCAAAAGTTAATACAGGATTCCAAAAGCTGATAAATAGAGCAATTACCGAAAGGCAGGAACTAGCCAACTCTGTTTAACCCTGCCAATAAATGAAAAGAATCTCAAGAATCTGGATTGCATACCATGAGTATAGCAGATCAATATATTGACTACGCCAATCCTTAGAGCTTCCTTGAGTTTGTTAAGGTAGATGAAGACGAGGCCATCAACTTTGTAACCCTCCTGTCGTACTCAGAACCAAACAGGAGGCCGCTCCAGTTAGTCGGCTGTCCTACAATTCTTGTAGGCACCTGATCACTATCTTCCCCACCCGATGCATCATATCCATCGCTAGTTGATCTTGACGATGGAATTTCCTTATGAGCTGCTGGTAGCCCAACAAGTCGACTTGCCTCTTTGGCTAATGACGAGGAAACTTGGAAAGGGTGAATATCTGGAGAATCTAAACTACTCTCGGGGGAGGAAGAAACCATGGCAGCTGCACCTGACATAACTGGGCCTGTCCGGTAAACACTTCGAGGTTCAAGTTGAAGAGGGGCGAAGCGGTTAGATGTCTCAGCCATCATATGATGATTTCTATAAACTGCCGCATCGTTGCTTGGAATGTTTGGAAGGGCTTGGAGGAGAGTCTCTGCAGGAAGGCGAATTCGCTTGCTACCTCGTTTTCTGTTGTTATCAGGCCTCGGGGCCATCCAGCGACTACTGCTGCCATAACTACTGTCAGTTTCAAAAGTTGGCGCTTCTTGTCTTATTACAGGGCGAAGAATTTTAGACTTCTTTCTTGCTTCTGCAGCGGCCTTAGACACCTCATCTGCATTCAATCGTGCCAATGTCCAAGGACTAATCTTTACAGCTGCAGGATTCTTTTTCTTTGTCAGGTCCTCCAACTGGGTCTTTTTTCCTAGTGAACTTATGGATCCAGTGTCTGGAGGAACTACATCAAACTGCAAGATAATCAGATATTGCCCAATAATAATCACAAGACTGATAGGTTTTCAATTGACGCCTGAAAGCATAAGAAACTTGGAAGCTATTATTGATGCAGAAAGGGGCTTCATTTCTTCTAAGCAATTGGTATGAAATGATAATTCAACAAATCAAGATTCAATAGTTACAAATACAAGAAAATGACATTCTATGATTCCTTCAAGCAAATAAGGTACAAATCAAGTATACCTGATCTTCCACAAAAAGACGTGGTGGTGTGCACCACGCTGCACGGTGGAAAGTGTTAAACGAGCTTGCACTGCTTAATCCAGTAAGAGAGCTAGCCAGAGACATCTGAGGACTTTGCTGACCTTCAACCCCTTGTTCTTGCTCCCGCAAAGCTATGATATAATCATATGTGCTAATTCCCTGTCAACCTTAATTGTCAACTTGAAGCAAAACATCTTTTCCGGAGCAATTCTATTTCCCCATCAAATTTTCAGCAAAAAGAATCAAAGGCTAACCTTTTTTATAAGAAGAATGTGAAAGAAGAAGAGCTGAGCAAGTGGCAGGGTTGCAATCATGGCCAACACGGTACATACAGCCTGTAATATGTAAGGTTACATCTGTCAATTATGTGTCGAACTATGTGGAGTATAATCACACTGTACAGTTATCGTCCTGAGTGTGGATATCTTTCTCATTATTGGAATATATTTGATAATTATGCACATCAGGTTGCCATAATATTCCTACCATATTAGGGATTAATTATCGGCGGGGGAGGGGGCTTTGTGGAGAGACAAGAAACATATAATGAGAGGCATGAGAATACTTTGTACTCTTCTTCTCCATTAGAGTGAAAACATGCTGCACGAGTGAATGGAGCTATGACCTTAAGGATGAAACACTATTAATCTGTGTCCTCGTTAGGACTTGGGGCTTAATACATAACATTTGGAACAACACAAGAATTGTAAGCGTGGTGAGAAATTAGATTCTTGATATAATTTTATTTCGCTAAACCTGAAAAATATCCCAAGGTTGACCACCGCAGAGTGAACTCATATTTTCAATACCCTCCTTTCTTATTTGCAACCACAAACCAATGAATCAAAATGGAAGTGAGATGAAGGGAAGTGGAAAAAGTACTCACCACCACAATTACAAATGGAACCAGTGTGAAACTGCTTCCCAACTTGAAACTAATGTCCAAAGAGAATTGCTTCCTCTCAAGAAAACAGCGGATCAGTACAAGAATTCCAGTAGACCATTGAAGTATAAGCTGCAAGCTCAAGACAAAGGTTATTGATTTAGTAAAAGGTCACTATAGGTTGTCGAGGGAAGTATTACGGTGGGTACTAGAGAGAGTGAATTTCTATAAAAACATATTAATGCCCCGTTTGTTTCGAATTATAATCAGATTTTAATCCAAGTCAAAGTCAAACAATCAATATTAACCACATCTTTCATGGTTCCACAACTTTTAAACCACACATTTCAAAAACTTATATCACAATCTACTAAAATTCTAATTTTAATCCCCACCAAACACCCACTAAATATAACTAATTACATATATGATGAAATCACGATGACAGCAGTAGAAAGTTTCCCAATAGATCCAGCAAGTTTTTTTCTTGAACAATAATTGTGTTTTTAAACTAAACATAACAAGAAAGAGCAGTTTACAAAGACAAATATTGGCGGGTAGATCATACCAGGAGAAGGGCGGATACCATCAGAGTAAAGAACTTTCGGTAGTTCCTTTTGCCTATACAGTTGTTTAGCCACTACAAAACCAGAGTGCAAAAATGAATCAAATTTTCTTGTTTCACAAAGAAGGTATACTTCTAGTCAATCAATTCAAGGTGTACCCTGCAATGATGATCAAAGTTGTCAACACACTTGTCACAGACTCTACAATGCTTGCTGTACTTGAAAACCTGCGAGATTGTGCCCATTTTAGTCATATGATTTATAAATATTTTAGATAGTAAAGATTCCAGTGTGTTGGGTATTTTGATAACCAATACAGTGCATGACTGTAGTTTTAAGAACAAGCACGGATTCATTCAACCAAAAAATATTGATGATCATTACAAGGACATTTTAAGAAAGCAAATGATATGTCCACGGGTGTTTTGCAGTATTAGACAGGATTATAATGAACAATACGTTAGCTTCCTTTTCTTTCTTAATACTGCCAAGTGTTATCTAATCCTTGTATCAACCATGCTATAAAAGGACAATCAATGCTTTTTCGCATGTGCTTCGATATTGGATGGTGGTTCCAAGATGCAGAAGCCATTTAACAGCATACGTAACTACACACCTCGACTTCACATAAGCTACAATAGAACATCCCGTCTTCACTCATTTGTTGCTCAGAAGATTCATCACATGAGTTGCAAACAAGAGCACAAGGCAATAAAGCCAGCATCGTAATTAAGCAGGATCTTTGATGAGATGACGGATTCTTCTTTAGAGTTTCGGCAGTAGAATCAGCTGTTGCATCTAAATCTTTATTTCTTTTATCACAGGATTTCTTTTCTGTGGCAGCATTTGCATCTTGAGTTGATGAAGTTAACTCTCCACTGAGTTTAGATTTGTTTAATTTGACATGCTTTCTGTCATCAGGAATGTTTAGATATTTTTTTGACCTAAAGACTCCTGGATCTGCAGGATCAGCAGCAGCACACCAAATGTATAGACCGAGGACACTCATAATCTGAGAAAGAGGAGATGTAATTTGAGATTAGAGAAACTATAATAAATGCATCGATTTGTTCGTTAGACAATCAGTGCAAGAAACATGATAAGGTTAAGAAGAACATAAATTATGCTTCATCACAATGTGAAACTTAGACGACACTGTACAGAGCAAACAAATAATTTAAAAGAAAAAAACCAGTATCTTTTCTTCGTTTACAAAATCAATGTTACAAAAAAAAAAAGAAAGAAAAAAGAAAGAAAGAAAAAAAATCAGCATTAATGGATTTCTGATACTGCAGCTCAAAACTAAGATATATGTCTAAACCATATAGCTGCAGCATATGGATCATCCAAGCTGACAAGCTTAACCAAAAATGGCCTATCAACAAATGATAAACTGCTGGAATGCATTTATCCATGATAGACCTACAGAATGTGCTTTCTGCTTCACCTACAATTTTTGCCTGTCCTGTTGATAGTTTATCAGACATATCTCCTGGAGAAGGTAAAAACAAGGAAACAGAAAGAATAGCAAATTCATCAAATCAATTTTGTAATCCCCTCCTCGTTCCCAGTTCCCTCCCTTCAACACACAAAAGGAAAAATGAAAAACTAGGTTCTTCACCCCCAAGAAGTGAGCACTACTTTCTTTCCGTAAACGCACAATAAGATTACTGGAGTGCAAAAGCAAATGGCCCTTTAGTTTATGTTAGGTACATTTTAACGAATAGTCTTGGGCGATAGTTATGCAGTGCTGGCATGATGCCAGGGAAATACCCACTTCCCAGTGGATTGTAGGCATAACCTTATTTACTCCGTAGAAGTTTTCAGGAACCCGAATTGAAGATATCTCAGAATAACCTGGTAGTCAAGATCAAAATCTGAATCACTGCAAGGCTTTTGAAATACAACAGACAAAAT